ACAGCCTGAAACTTTGACTTTGTTCAGAATTGTTCAGTCGCCCTCATTCAACCCAAGTATTTATTCTTTTATCCTCTCATCCATTCATTCTCTCACGTACTCTGCTTCTGACCTATTCACTGCATTATATATTGGTTTGCAAACCTCCGGGCACGTGGACTGCCCTTTTCACTGACTTACTGAAAACCTACCACCTGTTCCCTCACTCACTCTTGGACTGACCCGCCCTCAGCCTCAGATCTGGCTTCCGAGCCAGTTTTGGTCTTTCATCCCCTACTCTCCTCTGGTATCTTCTACCCTGCAGCTTATTTCTTCCTGAGTTTAATTAAGGACTTCAGGTTTAAGAGCACACTCAGTTGTTACAGCTTTCTTTAACTTTTTCCTTGCTCAATTCTTTGTTGGTTTTTTTTTTTCTTCCTAGCACAGATTCGATTACAGCTTGCCTAGACTTAAAATACCCACGTGTATATTCAATCCTCAACACATTGTCTGAACCAGGTATATTATGACTGAGGCAGTCTTTACATGTCTTTACCTTGCAGAACGCATTATCTGCCCTTTTGAAGATCAGACTTTATTATGCTTATAGTAGAGGTTTTTAAAAGCATGTTTCCTGCGTGTTCTTGGAATACTCATTATGGAATTGCTGTGGACATGTATTAATAATTGCTCATTGTGTGATCTCACTGCCGCAGCATCCAGCATTTGAAAACCGATAATCTTTTTTTAGGAATACAAAATCAGTTGTAATTACTGCAAGGACAAGTGTCTTCAGCCCTACACCAGCAGTTCACATACAATCCAGAATAATGTCACAGACCTTTGGAAGCCTCCCAGATTTGTGTCCATCATGCCTTGGAGGCCATTTGTTTTTTAAGTCCCGTGAAAGACACTGCTCCCAGTTGGAAGAGAGAGGAATCTTCAGTGGTGCAATTTACGCTACTACCCGTAGGTACCCAACACCATTGTTATTACCACAGTGTTTCCTTCTTCTCAACAAATTCCATTTAGTAATTCCATTTAGTAATTTCTCAGCAAATTCCATTTAGCTGCTCTGGGTTTTTGGAACCCTGTGCAGGCTGCAGGCTCCCTGGGGAAAACGTGACAAAATCCCTGTGGTTCTCCTACTTGGTTCTAAGAACCGCCCTAGCCTAGACTTCACAACATGTGAGAGAGATTAAAAAAGCATCTTTGTTTCTTCCTTTGGAATGCAATTTCATAGCTGTATCTCTCAGGAGATGCCTAAAGTCTTGTCCAGGAGGGTTTTGCTAGCATATAGGTGGCTAAAGCATTGGTGCCACTGGCAGAATTTTGTTTTTTTCGACCATGGGGCTAATTCTATGGTAGAGTCAGATGGGCTTAATCTATCTAGCAAGGGCAAAGGGACTGTAGCCCACAAGTTGGCAGGGGTGATCAGGAGGGCTTTAAACTAGGTTTGAAGGGGGAAGGGATCGAAACCAGGCTCTCCAGAGATGAGCCTAAGGGTGCAAAGCCCGAGTTAAGGGTGAAATCAGCAGCCCAGCTGAAGTGCATGTTCACCAATGCAGGCAGCATGGGCAACAAACAGGAGGAGCTGGAAGCCACCAAAAGCAGGAAAGCTGTGATGTAGTTGCTATCACAGAAACATGGTGGGATGACTCGATGACTGGAGTGCTGCCATGGATGGCTACAAGCTCTTCAGAAAGGAGAGGCAGGCTGGGAGAGGTGGAGGGGTGGCTCTAAATGTTAGAGAGTCTCTTGACTCTGTAGAACTTGAGGTCACCAATTATAAGGTTGAGAGTTCGTGGAGCAGAATTAGGGGGAAGGCCAACAAGGCTGATATCCCATACAGACCACCCAAGCAGGATGATGAAGGGGATGAATTATTCTACAAGCAGCTGGCAGATGTCTCAAAATCGCCAGCCCTTGTTCTTGTGGGTGACTTTAACCTGCTAGATGTCTGTTGGGAGCTCAACATGACAGAGAAGAGGTAATCTAGGAGATTCCTAGAGTGTAGAGAGGATAATTTCCTGCTCCATCTGGTAAATAAGCCTACCAGGGATGGGGCTTGCTAGACCTTCTGTTCACAAACAGAGAGGGGCTGGTGGGAGCTGTGGTGGTTGGAGTCCGTCTGGGGCACAGTGATCATGAAATAAGAGAGTTTGTAGTACTCAGGGATACAAGGAGGGCCATCAATAAAACCTCTGCACTGGACTTCTGCAGGGTAGATTTCAGCCTACTGAGAAGACTGGTTCAGAGGGTACTTTGGGAAACAGCCCTTGAAAACAAGGGGGTACAGGAGGAACGGACATGCTTCAAGAAGGAAGTCCTGAATGCACAGGAACAGGCTGTCCCAGCCTGCTGAAAGGCAAGCTGGCAGGGAAGATGACCAATCTGACTGAACAGGGAGATTTTGAAGGAAATTAGGGGAAAAAAGAGAGCCTGGAGGTTATGGAAAAAAGGGCTGGCTACTCAGGAAGAGTTAATGAATATAGTTAGGTCATGTAGAAAGAAAATCAGAGAGATAAAGGCACAATTTGAACTCAGTCTTGCCACTTCCATCAGAGATAACAAGAAGTGCTTCTCCAAATACATCAGTAGCAAAAGGAGAGAAAAGGAAAACCTCCATTCTTTGTTGGACATGGGCAGGAACATTGTTATCAAAGACGAGGACAAGGCTGAGGTATTTAACACCTTCTTTACCTCAGACAGGTTGTCCCGAGGACAGCTGGCTTCTGGAGCTTGTAGACAGGGATAAGAAGCTTAGTAGCTCCCTATAATCCAGGAGGGAACAGTTAGCAACCTGCTGAGCCACTTGGATCCTCACAAGTCCATGAGACCAGATGGGATCCACCTAAGGGTGATGAGGGAGCTGGTAGAAGAGCTCACCAAGCTGCTCTCCATCATTTCCCAACAGTCCTGGTTCACTGGGAAGGTCCCAGACAATTGGAAGTTGGCAAATGTCACGCCCATCCACAAAAAGGGACGGAAGGAGGTTGTAGCCAGGTGGGGGTTGGTCTCTCTTCTCGCAGGAGCCAGCAGTAGAATAAGAGGGCTTGGTCTTAAGCTTTGCCAGGGGAGGTTTAGGATGGACACTGGGAAGCAATTTTTTACAGAGAGAATGATCAGGCATTGGAATGGGCTGCCCAGGGAGGTGGTGGATTCACCGTCCCTGGAGGTGTTTAAGATGAGACCAGATGTGGCATCAGTGCCATGGTCTGGTAACCATGGCAGGGTTGGACTTGATGATCTCGGGGGTCTTTTCCAACCCAGTTGATTCTACGATTCTATATTAATATCAGCAGCCAGTCCCAGAGGAGATTGAACTTATTCTTCTGCTGGTATAAATTATAGCAATTGCCCAAATAAAATAAGGATTTTTTTTCTACCCTGCTACCGTATTTGCACTATGGACTTTCTGGCATGGGTTCAACATTTGATCCTTTTTTACACTCCTGGTAAGTCCCAGGTAAATCATCAGAAGTGGCCATCCCCCTTCCTGCCAGGCCCTGGCCCCTCAGCCCCTCCTGCTCCCTGTTGCTGTTGCCTCCCAGAGCTGGGCATGGCTACTTTTTTCTCCATACTTCATATGCAACGTTTTGATGGCAGATGAATGTATTCGATGTTAACAGTGCAATGGACAACCGGTGGCCCAGCGTTAATCTGGCCTAAGTCAAATCATCATTCTGAAAATGTTATGAAGGGAAGGGGATTCCCCAGCGTTTTCCACACAACAAACTGTCCGCTGTTTCTGCTAATGCCCTCCTTCAAACCCTACTGTTTCTAAGACCCTGAAATATCAAGGTGGTCAGGTCTTGCCTTACATCTAAACTTTCTTCATCTGAGGTTGTCATTATGACTCCATGTCTTCAAAAGGCTCCATTTCCTCATTAATTTCTTCTTGACAGTATTTCTTATCTACATCTACTGTGAATTATGGATATTAGAAATTGACTGCCATGTTATTGTAACACTACACACATACTGTGTAATGCTGGAATTAAAATGTCAGCCAGTAAAGCAAATGCCAATAAACAATATTCTGTTCGGTCTTGCTGAAATGACTCCTGCTAACCAAGCTATATCAATCTGATGACACTGGGTATCACCTGTTCCACAGCAGTAAAAAGAAAAGCCCAGTCACCCATGTGTTGGTTCATGTCATTCATCAGCACAGTCACACCAGGCGTGCAGGGACACGATGGTAATCAATAACTCATCCGTGACTCAGCAGAGGGATGGCGGGTGAGACCTGTGCAGACACACTGGTCCATTTTCTCTGCTCCTTTAACACCGCCGAGCAGCCGCCTCGGCGAGCCTGCCTTTAAGGTGCAGTAATTCCAGCACCGCCTGCTTTCGATGCGTGAGCTACTGGCATTCCCATGGTGGCGGGAGGCCGGATCCCGGATGCGGTTTGGGGTTCGCGGATCCATCCTGCCCCCCTGGCGAGGCGGAGGAGGCGGAGGAGCAGGGGGATGCGACAAGTGCCGCCGGGTGCGGGGCTGCGGGGCTGCGGGACAGGACAGCGCACCCGCTCCGGGCCGAGGCGCGGCCGTTCCCCGGCCCCGCAGCGCCGGGACGAGCCGTGCGGGGGGAATGGATGGAAGAGCGCGCCGCTGCCGTTAACGGGCAGGGCAGGGCAGGGCAGGCAGGGCAGGGCAGGGCAGGCAGGGCAGGCAGGGCAGGGCAGCACCGAGGCGAGGCCGGGCAGCCCCCCGGCCGGACCCCCGAGAGCGAGGGCCGGGCCCGCCCCCCGCGCCGCGCGGCCGCCATAACTGCGGGGCGACCCAAACTTGTTACTCGCGGGCACCAACTCCTCCTGCTGCCGCCGCCGCTCCTCCTCCTCCTCCTCCTCCCGCCGCCCTGCCCCTCCGCCGCGGCGAGGAGGGCGCTGCGCCGGCCCAGCCCCAGCCGCGGGGAAGGCGCCGAGGCGGGCGGGGGCCGTGCGAGGGCAGCGCCGCAGCCCCCCGCAGGTAGGAGCGCCCGGCGGGGCGGGCCTGGGGAGAGAGACGGCGGCGGGGGCGGGCGGAGGGAGCGGGCGGCGGCGGCGGAGCCGGAGCCGAAGCGGTCGGCGCTGGGGCAGCGGCTGGCCGTGCCCGCCGTGCCTTCTCCTTCTGCGAGGTGGGTGCGGGGCCGGGGCCCGGGCGGGCGCTGCGGGCGGGGGCGCTGGCAGCCCCCACCCGCGGCCGCGGCGAGGCGGAGAGGAGCCTCCCGCGGCAGCAAATGAGCGAGGGCTTGCCAGGTTTATAAATCTGGTTTTAGCTGCCACCTTCCCCCCCCGAGTCCCGCCGGCTCCGGCGCCAGCGACCGCCCGGCGCGGCTCGGCCAGGTGCGTGCCCGGGGTGGCCGCCGGGCCCGCTGCCCGCGCCGGCCGCACCTGCCGCGGCTGCGGGGCCGGGGCGGCCTCGGGGCGGTGCGGACCGAGGCGAGGCGCTTCGGCGGGGCTGGGCAGGGGTCTCGGTTTCCCTGTGCCGGCAGCCCAGGTTGCCGGGAGCGGGGCCGGGCGCTCCGGGGAGGCCGCTGCCCCCGCCGGGGAAAGCGCCGCGCCTCCGTCGGCGGAGAAGCGGGACGCGGCGCCGGGGTGCTCGCTGCTGGGAAACCGGCTGCCTGGGTTCTGAAGAGCTGTTGTGTGCTGTTTTTATTTTTCAGCTGTCAGGAGAGTTTAAATCGGGTCTCGGCGGAGGTGCGCGGTTTGCAAGGTATGGGTGAAGCGAGAGTTTTCCCGGTCCCCGTTTGCCCTTGGTCTGATTCTGAGGGGGTGTCTTCGCTGGTTCCCCGAGGTGTGGGCTGTTTGGGTGATGTTTTCCGCGTATACAAAACTGTGCATCGTCGGCATTGAAGGGAGAAGGATTGAGTGGGTGAATGCAGCCGTGGTAACTTCATTGTTACGGCTCCTTTTTGTGACGCGCTGCCTTTAGCAGGGTGGGGAGCAGGAGCTTGCTCCTGCCTTGGTGTGGGAGGGGACCTGATGGATCTGCAGGTTGAAGCGCTTTTTCAAGTCTGCTCTTTCATTTAATGCTGAAACCTTTTCCTGCCTTCATTCATGTCTCTTTTAATCGTGTACCCCTTGCGGGTGGTTGTTACTTAGGCTGAAAAACGTGAAACATCACTTTTAAGTCTATGACACCCAAGTGTTTCTGGTAGGCTCTGGAAATCAATGTAGTTGTAAAGCCTCTGAAAAAAACCCAATAAAATTCCTGCTATAATTATCGATAGGCTGTTGCCTGCTTTATGCCCATCAGGCTCAGAAATAGCTACTAATCTCGTACTCCCTTTTGGATACCTGTGTGAAGGTTTTGTTAGGGAACTGTTTAATGACTTCTTTTATTAGAAAGAGTGCGAGCCCAGGCGGTTACGCAAGTGCGCCTCAAGGAAGCCGCGCTGACTGCATGGATGGCAAATGTGGAGGCCGTGCAGGAGTGGGAGTATCATTTACAAACTGAGTTAGAAAGGGGCATTGTAGGAGAGAGAACCGAGTAGCTCGAGTGGGGTGAAGCAGTCCCTGCTGTGCAGGGAGAGGTGTTGGTGCAGTGTGCTCCCTGGGATGAGCACTCGTAATTCTTTCCTGTAGTCGAGATGAGGTACAGGTGACTTTTCCACTGGAAGCAAATGAGTGGCAAGGGAATGTGTTTCTGCGCATATGTTCTTAAAAGAAAAACAAACCCCCCCAAAAAAGCTTTGAAAATGTAGAGCTGGATCGACAGATGAAGCCTGGCTTTACTAGGATCTCTTGGCCTGGAGAGGAAGTCTTTCACGGTTCCCCCCCTCCCTCCCCTGGAGCAATTACTTTACGTACCCTTTGTGATGGTCAGGGATTGCTACAGAGTCTGCTGACAAAAGCTACTTACATTCACACCTACCGAAATAGGTCTACAGTTGTTTATTTATTTATTTATTCATTTATTTATTTGAAACGAGAGCCATTGTAGAGTGGTCACTACTTCCACAGCAAATGAAGCGTTTGATGTGCATGGATCTATTTCAAAACTGTAACACTGATTCATAGGTTTTTCTGGACACTGGAGGTAGAGGTGTGCCCACAGACTTCTTTTAACATGCTGTGTTGCCATCTCTTTGCTGGTATATTATGATTCAGTCCCTTCTCCTCCTCCTGTCCCTGTATAAACCTGATACCGTTTTGTTAACCTGCTCTCATGGATACAGCAGTACTGTGCCAAAATGTGTGTCTTTATACCACTTAGAAGTCCTGCAAGGAGGGGAGTTGTTCTGGATGCCCTGGTGCTTCCCTTGCTGGCCCCTCTCCTGGGCAACTGAGCTTCAGAGGTACCTGCTTCATGAACCTCTTACTGGGGAGGAGCTGGAGAGGATCTGTCATCTGCCCAGGGCCACTTGGCTGGAGTTGGAGACTGCACTGTGCTCGCTCTTTGGTGGACTCTCTCCCTCTCTCCCAGCTGGCTTAGAGGGTTTGTGTCAAATGAACATTCTGTTGTTAAAATACATCGTCTTAGATGTTTTCTTACGGTGAAGTAAGTGGCAGGTCGCTTTCAGTCATGTCAAAATTAATTCTTGGTCTGGGCTGCTGGCATTAGATGCATGTGCCACCTGGTTTGCAAAAGGTGTTGCATAAGTTGGTAGATAAGTTGTGCCATACTCTGATTTTAAGGAAGACTTTCCAATGTCTTGGGACTCTGAATCAAGGGAAATAAAATCTTGGAGCATTTCTGTCATAGTTATGCTATCTTGGAACTCTGCCAGTTTTTTTGTTTCAGTTGTGGTTTTCTCCAGGAAAAATGGAATCTCAAGCCACAGTTGTTGCAATAGGGATTTTGTAGATAATAAGGAAATAAAGTATTTATGCTGAATGCTCAGAGGTGAAGTTTTTTATCCCAGTTTTTGCTGTGCAGTGGTTACTGGAAATAATTGCCAAGGTTGACTAACATTTCTTATGAGCCTTCAGTACTTCGAAATGTTGGATCTTATTAGATTCATATTCTGTGATTTAAAGTGAGCTGAAAAGGAGTTTCTGAAGGTAAATTACCATGAAAGTGTTTTTCATGAGTGGGTGCTGATCTACTGTGCTACTTATTAAACTGAGGTTTAAGAAATTGAATTACTTATAGACGTGACTGAGAGAATTTTTCACAATGTTTTAGTTTCAGAAAAAAGTCATTAAATATTTTCTGGATGGCACGTGACAATAAGGTTGGAGATTTTAGTTGACAACAAAAAGAAGGAAAACAGGTTGTTAACTTCCCTGAGTTACCTGAGTTATCCATTAGAAGTTCCTCTCTGTTTTTTTTTCTTTTTACACATGTCTGTAAATTACTGTGTTGGAAGTTTAAAGTGGGAATTCAGATTTTTATTATTGTGTTAACATTAAACACTTCAGGGAGGTTGTTCTTTGTTGTGCCTTGTACTTAGCTGCTGTGTGCTATGTTAGCTGAAGAAAGGTATGCCCAGTTGGGAAGTTGCATAATAAACAAGGAGGTGGGAAGTGCTTTTGGCTTTTTATTTGATTCTTCTTTCTCTGAAGCTTTCTCCCTCCTTGTAACTAGTCATTTCTGTGATGATACAGCAGCCTTTTATAAGACCTTCTTATAGTCCTGTGCTTGAGTGTCTAGATAGGCAGGTAGAAGAAATGCATTGAAAAGAATGAGAAAAGTCCCACTTATGTTATTTGTGTCTCAAGTTTTGGGAAGCTGAAGTGGTTGTAGAGTTGCTGCACCAAGAGGAGCTTGTGGATGTCTAAAAGGCTGCTGCACCTTCTGTTTGGAGAGTTAACTCACCTCTGTGTGGATGTAACTGTGCAGGCTAGGGTGTGGAAGCTGTTTTAATTGTTTTCCTTGTGACATGAGGGGTTTGCGTTTGTTTCTTGGATGAATTAGTGAAAGGAACAAAATGGACTTTTTCTTATACCACAACTCTTCAGCTACAAAAAGTAGCACCTCATATTTCGGACTGATGTGTGCCATCATCTTGGATGATGGGGAAGTTACAGCTCTTGCTATCCAGAACTGGATTAATGAAGTCTTGCATTAATTCTGTTCTGGCCAAAAAGCTTTTATGTTCTGTCTTTTATCTGCCTCTAAAGTACCAGGAATGCAAAGGGCCGTTTAGCTTTCTGGGGGTGCTGCTGCAGCCTGCCTTCACTATGAGGAAACTTAGTGCCTGCAATAAGAAGTGCGTTGTGCTCCACTTCTGCTAACCAAAGGTGCCTGTGAGCTGCTCTGTCTCCTCCTGCTCCCTGCAACACTGAGCTGTGCTGCAGTGAGCTGCTGGATATGTGAACATGTCTCTGAAAACGGCATGAATAAATAAAGAAAAACTTATTTTTAGTACAGTTAGTGTTACTTTTTTTTTTTTTTTTAAATCATGGGATGGAGGAGAATAAAAGACTTTTTTTTTTGAATGAGAGGCGTGCATGTTGTTTGTAGTACTGTAACTCTTGAGATTTTTGACAAGTAAGGGTTTTAAAGCACTGAACAGCAGCCTTTACTTCAAGAGAATGTTCTTACATACCAGTTTTTGTGGCCTGAGGGGGACGCAAAACTGATGGAAAAATAGTAAAAACCTGGACTATAGATGTAAGCCGATAAGGAACTTCTCTGAAGACAATAAATAAAGTTAATTGAATCCCATGTATCAAGTTTAGAATAAGTTTTTTGGTAATCTAGAAGTAGTGTACCCACTTTCTTGTCTTTACCCACTCTTCCACCTATTTCTTTTTCTCTCTGTTCATGTCCAGCAGTGAACACATAATCCACCAGGCATTTTCTGCCCTGATCCTCTTAAAAAATTAGTATTAGCCTATATATGAGGCAGGCCAAAGAGGATTGAACACTGCTGCAAAATTAGTACCTGTTGGCCTCATTGCAAGGGCAGGCGAGTTCCCTTTCTCTTGTGAGGAGCTCGGCCGTGCCCTCTGTGCAGGACTGTGCGTGCTGAGCAGACATGCAGGTGATGGAGCACGGATATGGAAGTGACCGGGAAATCCTGGCCTTGTCAGAGCATCTGAATACTCGCATGGGAGACATGCAAAGCAGGGGAATGTTCAGGGAGACGGGCAGTTCTGCTGGGAAAGCAGGCAGGGCAGTAGAAACTTGTGCAGAGTTGGGTAGCTCTTCGCTGGTGCGCGACAGAGGCACCGAAGGTTGTCTGGAAGCTAAAGCAGGTCTGGCAGAATGTCATCGAGGCAGAGTGGGAAGTCTGGTGTTCCTCTGTGCCTGAATAAAACGTCCAGGTCCACACAGATTTGCATGCATTGCAAATGGCAGAGTGGAGGAGTAGGGGGAAAAAATGCATGAAATGTGATTATGGTTCCTGCTTTGTTCAAGAGTGGTTTTCAAGGGCAGGCTTTAGCTGTGTTTCTGCTCAGTTCTCCTCCTTCTGCCAATATAAAGCAGGCATTCTTCTTGCCCCAAATAATTGTTTGTATATGCTCATTTGTGCCTTTTTTTTTTTTTTTTTTTATAAATAATACTGTATGAACGTTGTCATTGTACATGCAGAGAGATGCATGGAAACATGGAGGCTTTTTGTTTTTATAGAATGTCTTTGTTCTCATTTCCAGTGAACAAGATAATGAGTTCAGTTTGTTTGTTACTGGAAAAACAATGCAGGATGTAGGGAAGAGACCTAGACATGTGCAAGCCTTTGGATTTGTATTTGAATTCTCCCTCCCTGCAATTTTGATGTGTTCTGGAGAGAATGGAGCAATAGAGACTTTTTAAAACACAAA